ACCGCCTAAAAGTATACCCATAAATTGTATTTTTAAGGGTACTGATGTTACTAGTATTTTAATAAAACGAATAATTATACACACACCAACAAGTTTTTCGCATTAGTTATAGAAAAAAGTGTAGGTGTTATGGAAATTATACGAGCCCTGGTTAATACCACCCCCCAGAGTAGTTTGGCGGCCTTTATTTCCCGAAAATGAGTACCATAGTTTTGCATAAACATGCTGGCTAACAATGCGTGAAGGGAATGTGAGAAAAGGTTAATTAATTTATGTCGCACATGCTTAATGCCCATTCGGGGACCCCAGCGGGCACCTCGGCTGCTTTATAGTTTCGTTTCCCCGTCGCGTTAATGGACACATCCTTCCACCCATTTAGGCCATCCTATGATTAAAACTAGGCATGTTTGTCCATTTAAGCCCGTAATTTGTGTCGTAAATCACTCCAAAGTCAGCGCCCACGTTTCGCACCTCGGATGGTATCCATAACCATTGTAATGCCTAATGTGCCCCCTTGCCTAATGAGTCTAATTGGGGTTGAAACTGCTCATAAGAACCCTTTTTCTGGCTCGCATTTTCGAGAGTCTTTAGCTGGTCATATGAGTTTGCCACAAGGTGTCATCTTGCCCCATCATTAGCGCCATTTGTTTTTGGCCCAGCGTAGTGGTTTTTTGGGAGAAGGAGGACCGTAAAACCGGTTCATTTGCATATCAAAGGCCATAATCAGCACCTTGCAAAACAGTGCGGAACAAGGTCCGAAGAGCACACACACATATATACCATTTTTATGGGTGCCCCCATGCAATATGGGGGCTACCATATTGACAGGCTCCATTTGCCATTCGCCAGTTCATTTGCATGCCAAAAAAAACCCCGCTCACACACCTCACATTTTCACCTGGGGTTAATGGCACACCGTAAGGCGTGAAATTATGAGTCCTGCATTAGCGTTAATTGGCTGTGCGTGTGGCAGATACGTGCTGTTCTCGTATGAAAGATACAAAAGTATCTGCAACTGAAAGACCACTAAACCGGTTTTAAATCTGCAGTACGCATTGGTATTATGAAAATTATAGTATTTTCAACATTTGCCCTGAAATCACTGGAGAGTCCTAGGCTGTCTCATCCTCCAAATGTTCGACTCGTCGGAACCGGGCTTGTCCCTTAACACTGGAAACGGTTTGGAATTGAAACAGTCTTGAACGTGGCTCCCACTCCTCGTAACCCCAGATACGCCCCCTCCCAAACGATTTGCACCAACTGGACGAGGCGAAATTGCCGCAGCTGCGCAGTGAAGGACCTCGTCTAACTTCCAAGTTGGAACCCCAAACGATTCAGGGCGGAGTCATCGCGGCATTGGCGGGCACCTTTCTACACCGATTGTCGGGATTTAGGTGCATACATACACAAATACAATCGTTGGGATTTCCCCTTCCCCACTTTTCTGCGACCCCAAGCCGCTTTTCCTCGCCGTGGAGTCGAGGGAAACTTGGAGGAGGCCACCGCCCAGTCCATCAGCGGCAATCCGTTAAATATTTTAATGGCCAACAATAGCATTTTTCGCAACGAATTTACGATGATTCAAGTTAAATATTTGCTCGAGTTCTGGGGCTTTAAATGTTTGTTTTTGCAAATTGAAGGCACTCACAAAAAATGAATAAACCAGGCTTTTCTGGAGCCCTACTTTGGAGTTTTTCCTAAAATATCCTCAGTATAACATATTTATACATCTGGGTACATGAAATATAGTTTAATTTAACAAGTTTTTTTGTAATTTCTTTGTTTTTAATCAGGTGAACGATTTTTGAAAACTATATTTATGTCAATTTAAGCCCTTATTTTACTAATTCGACCTGCCATTAAAATCTAGATCCTTTACAAACTTTAAAAAGCTGTTTCTTAAAAATGAACTTTTTCATTCACAACGAGAATGAATGCCTACAATAAATTTTTTAAAAATGTTTTGATTGCAACAAAGCTATACCTATTTAAGAATCTGAATCATTAACTGTAGTACCCAACTTTCTTTCTTCTTTCTTATATTATCAATTTGAAATTTAACAATTATTTAATAAAACTATTAAGGTCAATCATTTCTTTAGACTAGGTATGTTTTTGATTATGCTATAAGATAAAATGTAAAACAGCATCAAAAATAAAACTAAGTAAAAGTTTAATCAACTTGACTTTAAACATTTCCTTAAAATAACAAGTTAAGAAAAGGGCCACTGTGATATCAGAATTGTTGTTACCAAGACAAAACATTTCTATAACTGTTATGACCAAGTTAACGTTCGCTTAGCCGCCGAAAATGACATTTGTAGTTCTTATTTCCAAGCTGATAAGTCGACGGAGACATAACCATTTCGGGTTTGTAATGTCTGGGGGGAAGACTTTCAACTGGGAGGACTCAACGTTTATTGGCCGACCAAGTGCTGCTCCATTCTTTTTTACGATTGCCATACTGCGGTGCGAATGTAGCTCACATATGCTCCCCTGATTGTGGGTAATTGTCCTGTAATAAAAGCCAGAATCATGGTCTGGATTTCCTTGGTCTTAGTGGGTGATGAGACCATCCGAAGTGGAATAATGCCACCCTCAAAAGTGGACGATATCTACCGACAACTATTTGAGTCAGCAAATTTTTCAAAAGACTGTCTATGGTATGGATGGTGGAAATGTCCCTGCTTATCTACCCATTCTCCACACCTGTGTAATTATTGCGGACCTTTACCCACTCGTAAATTATATGTGATCCCTATAGCTAATAGGTAATTTATGTTCTGACCGCAAAACAAACCAACCAACAAACAAAAAAAAAGGAAAAGGATAAACTTTGCCCGCAAAAAAGTAAAACAAATGTCCACGGATTTTGTGTCCATTAGGCTCTGGGTGGAAAATGGGAGAAAGAGTTTGGACATGTCTTGTGTACTGGTCACCTCTGGTGGAAAAAGATACACTACCCACATCAGGTCCTTTTTTGGGCAATCTAATTACAAAGGCCTGGGGCACACATGATATCCTACCCCTTTTCTTTATATATATAAAGTATTTCTGCAACTTTAAAGACACTTTAAATAATCCATTAGCAATGCCTGCACATCACCCACCGTCGAGAGTAAGGGACTTAAAAGCTAAAACCTGTTGAGTTACATCTCAATTCCCCGAACACTTGGCTAACTAAAAAGCCAAAGGCCCCCATTCCTTACCCCTTTTTGCTATTTCTCCCCGGGAATTCACTTTGTCTATACGTCTTGGCACAGATTATTATGGCTGCTTTGAATAACAATCGATGGCGCGACATTGATGGAGGATGGCGCAATGGAATGGATTCCATTGTCTGGGTCCTGGTGCTTCTCCTTGGGCATTTTATTACCGTCTAGAGTGGCTGCATTTCCCTGGTTTCCCCCTATTTTTTGTTCTGGTGTTCAAAAGCTATAAATGGTTTTTGTCATTTCGACTATCGATGGCAAAGTGAATTTTTACGACGGTAATATGCATGCCAACAGATCAGAACAGATTTTTGCGAGTATAAATCGCTGACCCCTTTTGGCCACCACATCATTAGCATAATCATCATCATCATCATCATCATTTCCATCAGCGGTGATTCGTTCTAGCTTGATTAATGAAGTTATTCAATCGAATCGAAGCAGACTGGGTCAATGAATTCTCATTAAACCCATCGATGTGCATATTAATGAACTGTTGCGAACTTAGGTGACATAATCAACTGAGTTATTAACTTGTCCAAGTTTGTAGATCAATTTAAAAGAGTTTTCTAGCACTTATGTCTCTCGCACAACTTCAATAATAAGATTACAATCCGCATCAAAGTTAACCTTGTTCGGAGCATTAAGTTCAAGATCTCTAATTCCATTAAGCTTTATTTTCCTGCTCTCCAATCCCATCTTAAGTCGCTTGTCGAGTTCCAAGTTCCAAGACCCAAAACCAGAAATCGCAACTAGGAACAGAACGACATTGAGTCATCGGCTTCATGACTTCTATATCTCCCATCTGAATACAATTGAATTATAATTGTTTTTGCTGGCAAACGTACTTTATTATATTTTTACTTCTGCTCACTGGTTTGTGCACACGCCGAATGGCCAACAATGTGCAGTGTCTGAGACTTTGACAATTATCATAAATAATTCCATTACAATAATTAGTAATGCACGCCTAATGGTGTTCGGAAAAAAATCATTACCCCGCCTTGCATCTCTTGAATACTCTTTTTAAGAAGTAATTATACATTTGATAGTTGAAAGAAAGAAAGATATGCAAATGAAAAAAAAAGTCATAGGAAGCAAATTTAAGAGATTTATTGGTGGGTTTCATTTAAATAATTTATTTATAGAATTCCTGTTAAACATAAAATGATGTCGGGTGGTCGCTTTGACTATTACCCTTATAAATCCTTACAACATTTATAATATATTTACACATATACACTATGGGTGTCATATCTTATATGTTGCCAATACAAGCCATCAATTTAATAGTTAACATTTTTTAAAGAAATCGAATCTCTTTACATATTCATTATACCCAGAACCTTCTAATTTGTTCATTACTGATGGATAATAATATCTTCAAATCAAACAATGCTCAAAACAATAAACATCGTCATAGGGGGAGGAGAAGAAACTGAGGTGATCAGCCGCAAAACAAATTAATCAGCGAGGCAATCACCGACAACCATTTCGAATAAACCGCGAATATGAATCAAAGTTTTTGCCATATTCTAACCCACTGTGCGGGTAAAATCGGGAATCTTTGGGGAGGGAAGAGGGGAAACTCCCCGCCAAATGACAAAAGACGAATTAAAACTAACAAATTTTTGGCTCATTATTTGTTCTGGCTCCTCCAAAAAGCGCGAACCACAAAAAACACCAAACACTTCATTATAAACAGATCGTGGTGATGGGGGGGGGAATATGGGGGGCATAGGTATATCTGGGATCTCCAGCTCAAAAGCTTACAGCGATCGCTGGGCTCCAGTGTTTTCAGTCGTCAAACGACAGCATCCAACATCAGTCGCTAGTTGCGGAATCCACAGAAGCTTCAGAATCGGCAGAAACATTGTTTACCTGGGTGATCTTACAAGATGTTTGGCAGTCATCGGTTTATGGTAATTGTGATTGATCGCCCACGGCGGAAGATAGAAAAATATACAAGTTGCCATTAGCTTGTACATTTTTTTCATCAGCTAAATAATTTATACCATTTATAGTGTGAAATTTATTGCATGTTTTCGAAAAATATCTTTTGAAGTTCAAGTATATTGCAAAATAGGACATACAGCCTAATTTGCTTTTTGTTGTTAAAAAAGATAATTAATTTTTAAAGCAAACCAAAATGTTTCAACAATTTGTCTTGGTAAATAAAATGTAATGTACTTTTTGATTTGCATACAATTTAAGTACATCTTCTTGGTATTCAAATGAAAAATGCATTTATAATATTCTGTTTCCCAAAAACACTTTTTCAACTAAAATCTATCAAAGTAACAATTCCATATACTCTTTCTATAATTCATAATTCATAAATAATCCATACTTTTAAATTTAAATAAATTTATTTATGATTGTAAATATAAATATAAGTAATAAACTTTATTGAAACTTTAAATAATCTTGATTTAATTACTAAAAATTCTTTCAGCTCTGCTTCTTCTGCCTGGGCGCAGTGATTAGTGTGTCCCTGGCCATCGAGGAGTCCTCGGACATAGAGGAGGATGTGATCAGCATTGCCAACCAGACGCAGAAGGTGATCCGCGTGCATCCGCAGGACCTGCCTCCCAAGAAGGACAACACAGGCAGCCAAATGAACTCGGCCTTTTTCCAGATCCAAACGCTGCGTCCACCAACGGGATCAGCTTCCGGTTCTGGACCCGTTTCCGGTCAGCGGCAGTACGTGGACTCCAAGCAGATGCGGAAGAGGCGTCCTCGACCCGCCAAGCTGCTGGGTGGAAATGGGAATGGGAATGTGGCCGCCAGTGGTGAAGATGAGACGCAGCCAGCCTTGAAATACCAACTAAAAGCCTTTCCCAAGCAGAAACTCAAGCAGCAGAAGCAACTAAACTTGGACGCTAGGTCGGCTGCAGGGGAGCAGGTGGATCGGATGGACCAGGTGGAGGTCCAAGGTCAAGTATTACCCGTCCAGATGACACCGGGCCCCTATCCCATCTACTACGTGGTGTCCAAGACCAACGGACGCTTCGGCAAGTTCCCCATCAAGTCGTTTCGCTCGCCCTCGGAGTTCGCCAAGTATCTTGTGAAGAGCAAGGCGGAGCCCATCGCCCGGGATCAGCGATTCGAGATGATCTTGTGATCTTTCCTGCTCCTCACCACTTAGTCAAAGCTAAAGCCTAAATTATTACCCCGTAATCGTAGTCGTAACTATAATATTATAAATGCTTAATGCCGCAATAAACCCATGTCTAAATTTAGCCAATGAAACAAAAGCCCAAAAACGTTTTGAGTCATAGTTTAAAGATTCTTTCCCTTAATTGCTTGGGTTTTTTTTATTTTTGTATTTTTATTTGTTTTGCTTCTGCGCTCTGGTAATTACATGGCATCTATCTTCATCTCTGACTCCATCCGCGGAGTTTAGCTAACTGTTTTGCTAGCTGTTAACTGGCCTTGTCATATGCTAATTTGCCAGCGAATCGAATCGAGTGTCGCGTATAATTAAGCCCCGCATACCCATAACTATTGTCTGGTATTTACATACAGGCAACAATGGATAGGTGGATAGGTAGATACGTAGATACGTAGATACATTTGATTTATGGCGTTCCCCTTTTGGCGGCTTTCTTGCAAATATCTATCCAAGTGTCGTTTGCCTTTGTCTTTCTTCTGGTTCCCTTTGTTAGCCACGATTCTGCGCCTGCTTTCTTCGCCAAGCTACAGAACTTTCTCCTGTCCATATATAGAATATGATATGTTTTTAAAGATATGCATAGTTTCGATCAAAGAATCGTTCTTAAATACAGAAAATCATGATCATATTAATTTTTTCAGAACAACATCGTTATCTTTACTTTCTAAAGTTTCTGTTACTAACTTCAGTTTGATCAATTTAATTATAATTTTAATAATTGTTTTTTTGAGATATTATATAATATTAATAGTATTCAGAACGTAATCGTTCTTGAATCCAAAAGAGCTTACGTTTGCTAGAATATGGTTACTTTTTTGTTAGATTTTTCAAGCCAAAATAAATTGATACTTCCATTATTAACTCCAGTTCGATCAATTAAATTGTAAATAATTGAGCAGTCATAATTATAACCAGCAGATTACATCGAAATCATCCACCCGCAATCGGGGAAAACTGTCAGATACTTTTCACTCGACTCCGCAAATCAGAAGCGAAAGGAGGAAATAATAATTGCGATTTTTATGGCACACATGAATCTGGGGGTTGTGTCTCTAAGTCTGGTTAATCAACCTGCCGGTGGCCCCCCGACTTCGGAAAATAACCCACCCATCCGCCCAATGCATTTCCCATTACTTTTGCTCATTTCGACTCCGGCGAATGTGTAATGAACTTGTGGGCATGACGAGAACGCTGGAACAAAGTGTGATATCGAAATTTCCCAAAGGATTCAACGCCATATTTTTGCCAGCCACGAAAAAGATTCCTTCCTTGCAGGACTCCCTCTCCATCTTCCACCTCGAATGTGTGTGCGTGGAAAATAAAAGGCAAAAATAAAGGAAGAAAACCCCCAAAAAAAAGGGAAATCTTCAGGCAGCTCCCGCAACTAGCTAGTCCAACTTCTGTGGTACTCGTATAATCAAGCGTAAAAATGCGAAATTAATCAACTTCAGAGTCGACTCAAGTCTCAAGTTAACAACGCACAAGGAATTGAATTAAAACTTTTCGACCCCCCATTCACCCTTTTTCCCGGAAAACTGCCCTGAGAACTCGGGTTTTTATTCAATTATGTATTTGCGCTTGTCCTGCAGTAAAAATTACAATCCACGGGACAAGTCAACAGAATTATGAACACGCCTGGGCAGTAAAAAGTAAATAAAATTCCAGCTCCGCGGAAAAGGAAGACAAAAAAAAAGTGTATATATTTTTCAAACTTTTCTCGGCGACAGAAGCGGGATTTTTTCAATTTTTTTTTTGTACCGTTTCGGGTGAGTTTCTTTTCTGCGGTAATTGCAACGTCTCGCTGTCCTCGGGGAAATGTGAAACAATAAATGAAAATAAATGAATTTTTGTTAGCCCAATGGCCAGCAACCTCGGCCAATCGCCGCCGGGCAGGAAGAACGTAAAAAATTTCATTAATTTCCAGCTTGGCGGCTAACCGCCAACTTGATAACTTAACTTCATTGGGCCAAAAACATTTTCCCTTCGAATGACATTTGACAGCCCTTCGAAGTTCGAACTTCAAGAACGTTCAAGGATCCACGAAAAGGGCGCAAGGAACAGGGAGCAGGACCAGTCGAAAGCCATTTGATCAAAAATTAATGTGTAGTTTGGAACATTCTGTCACATTATACGCGTGTCAGACGGTTTAAAGGGTTACAAATTGGGCGGCCAAAGACAACACAACCAGGTGCTGAGGGGTGGAAATTGTCGAGGAAAAGCAGCCACCTTGGGCCCCTGCTCTACGAAATATTGACAAATTTTCTAAGTTACTTAATGTCTCTTAGATTTTTATATATTTTTACAGTATACACTTAAACTTAGTGATCTGAAATGCAGATAAGTTAGCTTTCTTACACACCCAAAAATTGAGAACGAAAGAAAGCCAAGATCAAATGGATTCAATTTCATAATTTTGCCTTCTTCCTCCTTTTAAAAAAAATGTTCTTGAATTCAAGACGAAAGTGCTCTCAAGTTTGTTTTTCAAGATTAAGATATTTCGAAATAGTAGTTAAAGAAGTTAAAATTTTGGATTTGGAGACGATGGTAGTCTCAGTTCCTTGGTTCCTGTTTAATTTGTAAGAAATTAGAACCACATTTTTTCATTTTTTAAGCTCTTTCACACCACTGTGCCCTAGCTCACATAGGCATCAGCATCGGCACTGCCAAGTTTGGCCCATAAAAAACCGTGCCCTCATGTCCTCGAGACGTTGTTACTGACAGCCACGTGAAAAGGAGCAGGACCAGAAACACAAACTTTGCGACAGGCCGCAAAAAAAAAAAGAAATGGTGACCCAAGCAGGCCAGGATTGTTGGGAGCAGGAGCAGGGGTCGAAGGAGGACCAAGGGAGCAGGTCGGCCGAGAACGACGCTTCTTAAATATTAATGCCCCGGGAGTCGGTGGGGCAGACCATGAATAAATTTTTGGCTATGAATTTTCAATAGCCCGTCCTCCTCTTAAACTACGTTCGCAATTTGTTCCACGACTTTAAGAGTGTCACCCACTCGCAGGTGAGTTTGCAGGGCATTAGGTGTCAGGTGAGTCACCGCAGTACCGAAATCGAACCGCAAAAGGGTCAGCGGAATTGAATTCATTTCGATTTTCACTTCCGTTTCCTGTGTTGCATTGCGGTTCCACTTCGACCCCGATTCGAACTCCCAATGCGTGGGAACTTTACGAGCCTGCCAGGGAAAAAGGTGCAAGCGGGTGGAGGTGGGCACGTGCGTATGGCGCCAATTGCCAAATGACCACAAAAGTTCAGAGGTCGAAGGGCCAGGCCATAGATGGCCCAGTAAATGCTGTTCAATGCTGCACGGAGAACAATATACCTTAAGTAATTAAAAAATTTGTGTTTAATTTATATATGCTATAATATTTTTCTTGCCTTTAATACCTGTTACATAAAGATTAGGTTGTCAAATATTTTTTTAAATAAAAAATAAATACATTGTTGTTTTGTTTTCATTTCTTGCACCTACATACATTTAAAACAAAAGTAAGCCAAAATGTGATATTTTAAATTCAAGAAGTTCCCCAAATTTTCACAAATTCGAGAAGAAATGATCATAAAATAAAGATGAAAGAGGTCTTGATTTTGCTTTTTCAAGGCGAAAGAAGTCCGACAAACCAAAAGCACTTCATCTCGACCTAAAGATTAACATATAATTGCATTTTTAAATAATTTATAAGTTAGAAATATATCTTATGAGAGGTTAGACAATTAGGAACTGCTTATTTAATTTGAATTTGTTTAACAAATTTTATATGTCGTATTTTATTACATTTTTCTCTGTGTGAATGTGGAGCCCTAATCAAAAACCGAACTCCAGGCGGAAGTGCTCTTCCCCCAGCACCGCACCCAACCCAAACCCAACCACTGGGCATCACGAACCCAAACTGACATTGCCCACTGATTTTATTTGCTCATCCGAAGCACTTTATGAAGCTTTTATTTGATTTTTATGCCAGCCGCTATTTCCATTTCTGTAATTGAATTGTCATTGTGCGGACAAGCCACGCAGCCTCGATGAGGTCCTTGTTTTTTGGACATCCTTGTGGTTCTGGTTGGTCAGCCTTGGCGCCCGTCCACCCGTTCGATATGTCCGGACATGTCAAAAACGGTTTTGCGCTTGATTGGCGCTCGGACCCCCGGATAAACACCCAGAGGTATACGAAAGTGACGGACGCAGGTCAAAGGACACAGGACGTGGCACGTCCCGGGGAAAAAAGGGTTGCGGTCACAAAGTTCCGCCCCAAGGCCATGGAATTGGTATAAAAATTGCCAGTTAGAAGTGTCCATTCATTGGCAAATTGCCGCAATTGATGTGGGTGGGTGGGTTTGTTTTGAAAACTTAGTGCTTGGTTGATGTGCTAAAATGTCGCCCAACAAAAGTGAGCAAATAAAAGTGTCACAGGGAGAAAAGCAATTTGAAGTTTTCCTCGTCTGGGGGAAGGTGTTTCCATTTGTAGAAAACCTGAGACACCTGCTGAGATTGCAACTATAAAAAGATACGTAACAGGATACAGGCTGACTGAGATTTGCTAGTAAAGGAAAAGAAATGTGGTAGATTGTGTTAATAGCCCTCACAAGGTTGTAATCTTCTTATGGAAATGTAAGGATTCTTATTAAGCTTGTATCTAAAACATCTTGAAAATGTTGTTTAAAGGAAAAACAAAACAAAACTTATTCTTTGGGATAATACGGCGTAAGGGATCAACATCTTAAACATCGTAAGCCAGTAGAATTTTATACAGATTATGCATTGTGGCAAAAAAAAAAAAAATAATATAATATAATGATTACTTGTAAGTATTCCCATTTAATCACAATAAAAAATAATTTAAATTTATATTAAGAATACTCCTTGAAACCTATGTACTCTTGATCAACTAAAATGTCCTTTAATCGGGACTCGTATATATCAATTCGAATGTTCTTGGGATCCCACCCTTCAAGAGACGCCTTCCACCTGCTCAAAAATGCAAACTCGCTTTTGCACACTCTTCGATGCCCATTTCGAGGACAATTTGAGCAGTTTTCATATTTAAAATTCCCAAAATGGTGCTACGTGAGATAATAATCG